AATCCCCAGTAACTCGTCTGCAAGAGAGAAATACTAAAAATGGACATTGTTAGCTAATCCAAAATACACCACACCCAGCAACCCAGCACATCACTGACATTAATCTTTAATATGCACATCAATAATAGTCATACCCTGAATTCCATGAATTCACTATCATTTATTCAGAAACACCTTGTGTATAACTCCCAATTTTTCTGAGATGAGAAAGAAATATGCCATCTTTTAAAAGCGGTCTACCACTATCCAAAAAAATGTACAGCCCAGAGAGTACAGGGAGGTGGCACCAAGGTTCTCTGGAAATGGGTAGAGGAAGAAGAGGACCTCATGGGTAGAAGACTTGATTTGGGCAAACATCACAGACACAATTTTACTGATAAAGGTCTTCTCTGGTTGGGAGAACTTTTAGAGAAGAAAGAGAAGGTGCTCCCAGCCGCACTGAGAACTGGAAAGGTATGGCACCAACTCCCACAGATGCAGCATCAAGCTTGGCAGGGAAGGATTGGGTAGTGCTCAGTTTCATTAGAGCAATGCCAGAACAAAAAGGCTTTCTTCAAGACATGAAAGGGTTCAACTGCATCCAGAGGACAGTGCTTGGGGTTGGTATCTTTTGGGGTGACAGCAGTAATAAAAACTACTAGGAAATAGTAGTTGTTTATGAACTGTCAGTAGTAGTGAAACCTTGTAGTGAAACTCAGAAGGTGATCTGTAGCTTTAAAATCAATGGGCAAAGGACAACGCTATAGCCCCTGGACTGTATAGAAATATTATAGCTCAAGAAAGGCACCTTCCCTTTCACAGAGGAGTGGTGAGTTGGAACAGATAGGAGGTCTGTGATTGTGCAAATCTGTGAAGAAAATCAAAATGTTGATCAGGTAGCAAACAACACACTTGTAGAAGGGATCTCCAGAGAGTTTATTGACAAAGTGCGTAAAGGTTGCATGGGTGTAACAAAGGCCAAAGGGCATCACTAGGTATTCATTGTGACCATCCCTAGTAATAAATGCAGTCTTGCATGACCTCTTTGATGCAAAACTAGGAAGACTAGGAAAGAGACAGTGGTTTTCATGAGCTTCATCTGCACAGGAATCATAGGATGTTGCAAAGAGTGGTGATAATAATGGTCCAGCATGCCCCATTCAAAGCATTTCCCATCTGCTATAGACATTCCTCAATAAAGTGTCGTTTTGCCTACAGTAGATACAAGGTCCTTGGGACTGATATTATTATTATTATTATACAGTAGTATTTATATAGGGCCAAATCATGTCCTTTCTTCATGGGATAGATGTGAGGAAAGCAGAGGATGTGGGGTTTCTAGGAGGCACTGCAAAGTTGGAAAAAGCCTACTGCAGGTGAAACCTCTTCTTGAAAACCAATGTCTATTTATATGGCCAAGGTGACCAGATCATCAAGAGTAGTGGGAATCTTGCATTCAGACAGTTTCTCTTTACTTCCTTCAAAAACAACCCTGCCATAAGGTGGCCATGAGGGCTTCTTTATTCCAGACAAGCTCAGCTGAAAACTTTTAAAATTGGACAGCATACTGTCCCATGTGAGTGAACTTCGGACGGCTCCTGGGCACCAACATACACTAGTTTGTTTGCGCTGTACTGGAGAAAACACTCATTTGTATAAGCCATATCTGTGATATTTTCCTGAATATATATATTACTTTTCTCTCATTTAAAGAGTAACTCAATTTTTGTTGAGAAAAAAAAAAACATTCCCCTCTGGGTGATCTATGTACACTGTAAGGATTTTAACAAACTTTGTTGCAGATTGAAGGCTTGGTTGGTTGAATTTCAAAATCAATGGTGGCACCATCAGATTAAAAAAATGCACAACATTTCCAATTTTCTAAAGGAAATTCGTTCAGAATTCGACCCATATACAGCCTGCATAAATCTGTATGGGAGTGGGCTTTTTTTTAAATTATTTATTTATTTAGTTGTATGCAAGATATCATATACAAAAAGGGACAAAAAAAATGACCATTGTGACAAGTACAAATGGTACAGTATAGGAGAGAATGCCTGACCAAAAACAAGGTAGCCTGCATACAATAACACCATGAAATATCCAATATGTAGGAGTGGTTTCATAATTATCAATCAGCTGCTGCATCTACAGGGTTTTAATGAGGAAGTTGTCAGGGTCTGCACCCCTTTTTGACTTGATTTCCCTTGGGAGTATCCCGCCATAAATTACATTTTTGTTGCAGGGGATGTTCCAAATTTGGCTTGTATCTTAGTGCAGACTTCTGGGATAATCAGTGAGCCAATCACACAAGCAGGAAATTACATTTCTGGGGGGCGTTCTGTATTCCATCTGTGCACAGAACATCACTGGTAGCTATGTTGCATTGCATTTTACAGGAAATTACTGCTCTGCAGACTGAAAAGAAAAGGTAATTATTAATATTTTATTACAGCTATTTATACAGTGGTGTCAATTTATTCAGTGCTATATATATATATATATATATATATATATATATATATATATATATATATATATATATATATTTTGTGCATTCACATCAGACCCTAATCCCCCAAGGAGCATACCACCTAAGGTCCCTAACTCAATTATACAAACACATACTAGAATCCAATTAACCTTTACTAATCCAATTACATAGTTACATAGTTAGCCTGGTTGAAAAATGACAAAAGTCCATCCAGTTCAACCATTAAAAAAAAATAAAAAAGCCATGATCCTATACCCACAGTTGATCCAGAGGAAGGCAAAAAAAAAAAAACCAGCAAAGCATGATCCAATTTGCTCCTGCAGGGGAAAAAAAATCCTTCTTGATCCCCCGAGAGGCAATCGGATATTCCCTGGATCAACTTTACCTATAAATGTTAGTATCCAGTTATATTCTGTGTATCTAAGAACGATTCCAGGCCTTTTTTAAAGCAATCCACTGAGCTGGCCAGAACCAACTCTTGAGGGAGTCTATTCCACATTTTCACAGCTCTTACTGTGAAGAAACCTTTCCATGTTTAGAGATTAAATTTCTTTTCCTCCAGACATAAAGAGTGCCCCCTTGTCCTCTGTGATGACCTCAGGATGAATAGCTCTACACCGAGTTCACTATATGAACCACTGATGTATTTATACATGTTGATCATATCCCCCTTAATCTCCTCTTCTCAAGAGAGAATACATTCAGTTAATTACTTTTTAATATCATTCAATGACAATATGACTTCAGTCACAATTCTATACTCTCTATTTTTTTTTAATTTGCTCATTTTTCACCCCAACAAAAGTGGAATTACCCTTTAAGTGTTGTGTTTTACTGCTGAAACTGACATCAAGTCCCATCATCTTTGACCAGGGACCAAGTTTAGTTGCAATAGTTACTACATTTTGTACACCTTCATATTCTGAACAAGCCTTCAAATGCAAAGTAAAAATAATTTGAAGGACCAAGCCACCATGCAGTATTTACTTCTGATTTGCATTGCACAGATCTCCCAGCCAAGAGCATTTAACCGAGGGCTACATGTGCAAAATATCTCTGGTACTCAGATATAGTCTACCAACAAATGGGAGATCAATCCCTTGTGTAGCCCTATCCTTTATTGCCCAGCATCAGATACTCATCATGCAGGCAATTAATGTGACAGTATAGGCGAGCAGATCACGTTTTCAAATTGCCCTAAAAATAATGAAGAGACTTAAAGTATTGCTCAAATATTGATACCATTGCTTCATTTTTCTCATTTTTGTACCACTGGTTTTCAAAACAATCTCTCATAGCAATTCTTCAGAAATCGTGGAGAGTGGCACAAACTAGCAATGTCTAAAATATCTGGTCTTTAAAACTGTCCTGGAGATTCAAAATTGCCATGTATCCTGCCTATGTCACACAGCTACAGTACATAAGCCAGGGAGATCGCTCATTATTTCACTTTCTGCCTAAAGGCTCATTAGAACAGGGTTAAGTGTTTCCCAGAGTGACCCCATGTGTAACAGAGCACAGAGGCCAGCAAAGGTCACATAAAGCAGCAATCCCATTAGTAACACTGCATACCGCAGCCAAAGTTCAATTGTCATTGACCAAACTTGTTGCGAATGAAACAAGCGAAGAAAGAGATAAAAAGAACCATGGACAGTTCTATTAACTCATTTTCTACTTCATTTATTATTGAAAATTATGTAGAAAAGTAATAAAAATGTTCATTAGTAAGAAAAAAAAAACTTGTAATAATGATATCAAAGAAATCCCTACATTACCTGTGCCAGGGAAAATAGAAGATATCCAGGTCTCATTAACACTTTAATGCTCTTGTGCATTGTGTTGAAGGTGTGTGTTGTGTGTTGTGTTGAAGTTGTGTTGAAGTGTGTGTTGTATGCTGTGTGTTGTGTTGAATTAAAGTGTTACTAAACCCACAACAGTAAAATCAGTCTGTATATGCAGTAAAGCATGCTTGTTATACTCACTGTAGATCCTATGGGTTTATTCCTCTGAACTGTGTAAAAATGCTGTTTGATCTTGACTTCTCTGATCCTCCCCTTCTCCCACTGCCCCCCTCTTATCTACTGATAAGACATATTGTGTGGAGACACTCTGCACATGCTCAGTTTGGTGTGTATTGCTAGAGAGGGTTTCTTTTTTCCTTGAGAGAGTGCATGTGATTAGCACAGGGCCAATCAGCACTGTACAGACAGGGGACAGGGGTTCTGCATCCTCCTAGAGCAGAAAGAAAACTCCTCCTACAAGCTTAAAGTGTTACAAAACCTAGGACCCTGCATCCACTATATCTGGTCTCCCACAGTACACAGAACATGGAAGTGCAATTATTTTAGTAAATATAAACTGAAAAATACCTTTTCTCATCAGAAGTTAGAGCAGTCTTGTGACTTCTATCAGTGTCCAGCTCAGCACTAGCTAAAGCTTGTAGAAGGAGTTTTCCTTCTGCTCTAGGAGGATGCTAAACCCCTGACCTCTGTCTGACCAGTGCTGATTGACTCTGTGCTGATCACATGCAGTCTCCCAAGCAAAAAAAAAAACCCTCTCTAGCAATACACACCAAACTGAGCATGTGCAGAGTGTCTCCATACAATATATCTTATCAGTAGATAAGAGGGGGGTGCTGGAAGAAGGGGAGGATCAGAGAAGTCAAGATCAAACAGCATTTTTACACAATGCGGAGGATTAACCCCTTAGGTTCCACAGTGAGTATAACAAGCATGCTTTACTGCATATACAGATGACTGATTTTACTGTTGTGGGTTTAGTAACACTTTAACCAGTGCTCTGCTGGACACTGGCTGCTACAATAGTGTTTAAAATGAATGGCACCACTGCACAATTATGCTAAAGACAGCCATAGATGGTTCCAATCTCAGCCAGTTCACCAGTAACCGCCGAGATTCAAACCATCCTCTCAGATTGTAAGTTCTAATGGGCAGGTCCCTCTGCTTCCTCTTGTACCACATTGCAATGTAACTACAATGTCTACCCTCATTTTGTAAAGTGCTGCGCAAACTGTTGGCGTTATATAAATCCTGTATAATAATAATCTATGGGGAAGGCTGATTGGACCCAAGTGGATTGTTGTACGACTTGGGTACAACCAGCATGTTGGAATTTTCATGTAATTATTGCCTATGGCTAAAGCCTCTAGCGACAATCATTGTGTTCTCCTGGCAGGGACGGCTCCCACCCCCCGCCGGGAGAACACAATGCCACTGCAGGAGGGATTTCATTATCAATAATGATGGTGATGAGCGCTTTTCATAAAATTCCTCATCTATGGCCTTCCATGGGCCTTTAAAGGACACGTCATAGTGTATGGGGGCTGGTTTTCTTTTGAAAATGCCTGGTTGCAGGAATGAAAATCGCATCATCTACGGCTTGTCTAACGTGCACTTTACTGAAAAGCAAAAGTGTGATTCAGCCCTTAAAACAACTCTGTTATTAAAAAGAAAACACAAAAGCTTTCCCTTCAAAGAAGAAGGTAAATAATCACCTGTCCCGCCCTGACGAAGAAAAAATGATCAAAGTTTCTTTAGAAACTGACTCTTGCGTTGTATTGTTTTCCTGCGTCCCCTGCTGTGCATAGTAATTCCTCCACTTTGTCACTACAGTCAAATGGGCGTCACAGACTTGTCCAATTAAAGACACAAACTATTTCATCTCTTTATAATCCCCCAAGATTATCATTTGTGGCTGATTTGTTTCTCCCCCTGCCTCACTGTCTCACTTGTGGGTCCAGGACCAGGGGCGGACTGACCACTCATGGGGCCCCCCCGGGCAATAGGGGATCATGGGGCCCCTGTGTCCTTGCCCAAACTCAAAAAAGCATATGAAAAAGGTACCAGGGGCATCTCACGAGGCCCCCTATTGACCCCGGGCCCTCGGGCAGTGCCCAAGTTTCCAAATGGTCAGTCAGCCCCTGGTCCTGGACCAGCATGGCGGAGGGGAGAGAGGTTAGTGACCATCTATTTGCTGATCTCCCCTCTGGTGAAGACCATCAAAGCAACAAGGAATCCTTCACTTCCTAGTTCAGCGCTGTCATTCCCTGGCTGCTATGGCCAGGGAAGAAGCACAATCTGTGCTTGACCAGCTGTAGAGCGGTCCATAGGTGACATTAGAGGTCTAAGTCTTCATGCACACTGGACATTTTTACAGCGGCTGTTTTTGGTTTTTGACATTTTTTCTACAGTTAGTAAACCCCCAGCATGTTATCCAATGTGTCCATGCACACCTAGACTGTAATCAACATTTTTTGATTAGAAAAAAACCCAGGACTAGTGGGTTTCTCAAAGGAGTTTTTTAGCTGTAATGTTGCTCTAACGCTCAAAAATGCTGAAAAACGTGGTAAAACATTGCAAACCTGCGTTTTTGGACTTTTTCTGACCAAAAATAAAATTTCACAAAAAAAAACGCTGCAAAATGCCACTAAATGCTAAAGAAAAAACGCTAAAAAAGCTGAAAAACTAAAATTTTTAACGGGACTTTACACAGCTAACGTTACCAGTGTTAGCAAAACGTCCCGTGTGCATGAGGACTTATAGACTCCTGATAACTCTTTAAAGAAGGCCTGTCCGTTCTACTTTACCATCACATAGGGGGCTATCAGGGGGCAATTTTAACACTTGAGCTTTTTGGTATCTATTTACCATAAATTCAGTATTATCTTGTGTTTCTTTGCACTATAATTAATGTTAGTGTATTTTTTACAGAAAATATAGGTTTGTTAAACTGTTGTGCTAACACTGTATGAAAATAAAATTGCAACTACCATCATTTTATTCTCCAGGGCATCTGCTTTTAGAAAATATATAATGTGTGGGAGATTTAACTAATCCTATTTAAAAGAGAAGTGTGGGATTACTTTTTAAAAAAAAAAAAAATCATACAGTACTCACCTTGGTGGATGCAGCAGCATCGGTCCCTGATGGCTCTTATGCAGGCATAGTTCAATTCATGAATGATTTTTCGTCCAAAAATCCAAAACATTCGCTCGGTAATCTGATTGTGCCATCAATGATTTAGAAAATCGGCTGACCAAATCATAAAGTTCACCCCATATAACAGGCGAAACCTCTGTTCCTTACAGGTCACGGCTCATGCGCATATTCTTTTTGAAACATGATCATACAATTTGACCATCATTGAGTCGAAAATCGGTCATTTTTCACTTATTTTCCAACATGCCCGATCACTGAAAAAGGGAGGAACCACAAAAATCGACCGGTGCCATTGACCCACTAACAGAGCGAAAATCGGCTGATTATTCTTAGGTCTGATTGTTGGACGAAAAATCAGTCAAATTTCGACCCATGTATGGCCGGCCTAAGTGTGAGAACTCAGCTATCATATGACTGCTGATCGCTGTGTTCTCACAGCCGCTCTGAGCAGACAGTGGTGACTGTCAGTCCAGGGCTGTCACTCTACTTCCTCTTGATCAGCTGTGATTATACAGTAGACCTCTGATGTAGTTCTCTGTATACGGAAGTTTTCTTTTTATTCCTTTTTTCCATTAGTTGTTTTTTTTTTTTTTAACCTGACTACCTATATCAGGTGTCTAAAAAACACATATGAGGACCAGGATGAAAGCCCTGGTACATATACCTACAAAAACAAGTCAACCGTGGGGGGTAATTCCCAATTTCTGTCCTGACAGGTTCTCTTTACACCCATTCTAGGTAATCACACACAAGGTAAAGTATATATATTGAAATTGGTTTTGCATGTCTCCGTCTGTACACTTCCACATATGTAAATGCAATGGGTGGGCTCACCTATGCCGCAGGGCCAGGATTTCCATTTTTTGTCCACTAAGGCAACTTCAGAGCTGAGTACACAAAGCTTCTTTATACTGTTTCTCATTCTGTATAAAAGCAATAAACCAGCCTGAACCACCACGGGGAAAACCTTCTATACAATTACAGGAAGTTGAAAAACACACTTTACACAAATCAGTATAAACTGAATGTACAGCACTATGTACGCCAGAAATGAATCATACTGCAAAAGGCAGCACTTTTATACATAAATAAATAATTAAAAAAAATATATTAAAATAAAAAAAATATATATATTACATATATATATATCTATATATATTACAGTAAATAACAGGTATAGCAAACATATTTATTTCAGTATATGTCTAAAATCTGTCTAGTTATCCTTCACAGCATGATTGTTCATCACAGAATATCTTTTTCATGAATACGTTTTATTAGGCCTCATTCACAAACAATACGTTTTATTAGACCTCGTCTACACAGGACATCGAAAAAGCTGCTTTTAGAAGCATTTGACTTTTTTTTCTGCCTCAAATGCCCCTCTATGTTACCCTATGTGTCCATGTACACATAGGCATTTACAGGCATTTACACCCCGGTCACACTGATCTGACTTTCAAAGTGTGCAAAATAAATAAATAAATATATATATTTATTTATTTCAGGTAATTATATACGCAGCGCTTTACATATATATTGTACATGGACATCAATCCCTAACCCTCAAGGGGCGTACAATCGAAGGTCTATATATATATATATATAGTATACAGTAAATAACAGATATAGCAAACATATTTTTTCAGTATATGTTTAAAATCTGTCTAGTTATCCTTCACAGCATGATTGTTTATCGCAGATTATCTTCATCATGAATACGTTTTATTAGGCCTCATGCACACAATACGTTATATTAGACCTCTTGCACTCAAGACATCAAAAACCTGCTTTTAGAAGCATTTGACTTTTTTTTCTGCCTCAAATGCCCCTCTATGTTACCCTATGTGTCCATGTACACATAGGCATTTACAGGCATTTACACCCCGGTCACACCGATCCAACTTTGAAATCGTGTAAACTTCCAATGAAGTCGCACGATTTCAAAGTCGGCTGTGATTCCGACTTGAGGTGCCACTTACAAGACATCTGCGGCTTGCGAGACACAAATATCTATGCAAGTCGCACCTGAAGTAGTACATGCATTGCCTTAGAAATCGGTGCAACTCCAGTCAGGTCGGAATCGCACCGATATGACCACTTTCATTGCGGACGATAGGGTGTGGCTTCCTATACGATTTGCAACTCGCATGGCAAGCCGCGAGTGATAACATATTTAGCATTATTATTGCAGTGGGGTTTTTTTGCATTTTTACAGGTTTTTCCTTCCAGATGTTCATTGATGGTAGTTAATTCTGCCTACATTTTTTATTTTCAGGGGCCCCAAGGTTGGAAATGCCACAGTGACTAAATGGTTAGCACTTCTGCCTGGCAGTACTAGGGTTGCTGGTTCAAATCCCAACCACAGCACCACCTGCCTGGAGTTTACATGTTCTGTCTGTGTGGGTTTCCTCCAGGTACTCCAGTTTCCTCCCACACTCCAAAGACATGCTGGTAGCTTAATTGGCTCCTGTCTAAATTGACCCTAGTATGTGTGAATGTGAGTCAGGGACCTTAGATTGTACGCCCCTTAAGGGTTAGGGAGTGATGTGAATGTAAAATATACATGTAAAGCACTGCGTAAATTGACGGCACTATATAAGTACCTGAAATAAATAAATAATAATATGCTAGTATGCACAGCACATTATGGCAGTCTTGCCTGGCAAAGAAACCCTCCACTGCTATGATGTAATCAATCTGGCAGGCCCTCAGTGCTTCCATCTTCACCTGGTTTTCCTTCCAGGGTCTGTGCCTATGGCCATTTGAATGGCTGGGCTGTGATGACATCATTCCTGCACATGCGCACAGCAGTTACATGGCCGCAGCACAGATCCGGGGGCTATAAACTCTACACTGAGCTGTGCAGGACTGGCTGACAAGCAGGAGGAAGCTTTTATGACAGAAGAGACTGGGCAATTTTTCAAAAATCCAGTTTAATACCGCTTTAAGTCCTCATGCACACGGGACGTTTGATAACGCTGGTAACGTTAGCTGTGTAAAGTCACGTTAACAATGTCAGTTTTTCAGCTTTATTTAGCGTTTTTTGCATTAGTGGTTTCCACGTTTGTATTTTTAGCTTTTTTTTAAAAAAAAAAAAATTTTTTGGTAAAAAAAGTCCAAAAACGCAGTTTTACTGCGTTTTTCAGCGTTAGAGTGTTTTTACAGCTAAAAAACTGCTCTAGAAACCCACTAGTCCTGGGGGGTTTCTTCCAGCCAAAAGACAAGCCTGTGTGCATGGACACATAGGATAACAGGCTGGGGGGTTTACTGGCTGTAGAAATAAAATATCAAAAGCCAAAAAACAGCCGCTGTAAAAACTTCAAGTGTGCATGATGACTAAAACCTAATTGCAGCCAAACGCAATAAAAGGTTCCCTTGGCAGCTCTTAGATACATAAAAGAAGCTTGGGCTGCTATACTTACCTGATCTCCAGTGCTGACCCCTGCAGACTCACAGAAATAGAATCGTTCAACCCATTTCTTGTGAGCTCAGGGTGTCATGGCCCCTCCCCCAGCCTTGGACTCACGGACGGAATGCTGCCACATCATTACATAGCATTAAAGTGACACTAATCTCTGGTTTAAAGTATAGTTAAAGGCAAAAGCTTTTTTTAGTTTTGGATAGAGTAGAGAGGCATAACCCTAGGTTCACACCTAAGCGTTTGTTTATTTATTTAGGTACTTATATATAGCGCTGTCAATTTATTTTACATATATATACAGTTCAATACAAGAGAGAAGGGAGGGCCCTGCTCCTTGGAGCTTACAATCTGGAGCAGGGCCCTTCATTCCCTCTTGTATTGAACTGTATATATATGTAAAGCGCTGCGTAAATTGAGGGCGCTATATAAGTACCTGAAATAAATAAATAAACGCTTAGGTGTGAACCTAG